AGGTGCACCCCTAGCATCTATCCACAGCTAGATAAAAGATCATGACATAATACAAAATGTCATGATACATTAATTGTGATGACTTTGGACTGCAATATATATATATATATATCTCCTTCAACAGGGCTATCTCTGAGTGCCACTCTGAGTGTTGCCCACTTTAAGATAAGGATCCCCATCCTTGTGCTGAGGTTTTGAGGATCCGGTTAAGGACACATCTCTGAAATGATGACCAATTGGTCACAGGTCATTTACTAAATATTTCAAATTGAGTTTAACAACAGATGAGATTGAAGTCCATCCTAACTTGGTCAGAATGTCTGACCAATGAGGAATAATATAACTAGTACATAACCTAATTAGGAAAATAATATGATAAATAAAAATGTGAACATAGCTACTATGAAAAAGTTAAATGATGTTTATTATTTGTTAAATTTGTTTGCACCTATCTTGCCAAGGGACTACTCTAGGTGGCTTACAATAATAAAAGAAGAAAAATGAACTGAGTGTAAATAAAATAAAAATAAAGCAATAGAAGTATAAAATAAAAAATGACAAAGGAACACAATGAAAACAATAGATTAACATGGTAACCAAAAAGATAGATGGTGGAGAGCAGAAAGCAAGGGGGAGATGGAGTCTGCCATCAATCTAGGACCCACCTCTAGTGTGGAATTCCCCCATTTCATCCCCAGGCCAACCAGCAGAGACAGGTCTTCAGGCTCTTTGAAAAGGATAGGAGGCTGAGGGTGAAACTTACTATCGAGGTAAGATATTCCAAAGGGTGGGTGTTGTAGCAGAAAAGGCTCTTCTTCTGGATCCCAATAGTTGCACTTGTTTGACTGATGGGATCCAAAGTAGGCCCTCTCTGCCGGAAATAGGATGGGCTTATCCTAGTGGGATGAGGTGGTTTATTCGGTAGTCTGGACTTATGCCATTAAAGGCTTTAGAGATCATAACCAACAGCTTGAAGTGCATTCAGGAGCAGACTAGTAGCTAATGAAGTTGGTGAAGCGGAAGTGTAATATGGGCCATCCTAGGAAATTTAACTAGAATATGTTTAGAATATAACTAGGAAAGAAACAAATAAAAATATTATTGTTATAATTATGTCTAAGTAATAAGTATTTTTGTTATGAACACATTTGGGGTAGTGTTTACAACTGTGAAGAGTAGTTGCAATTCTTTACTTCCAAGATAAAGAAAAGTAATTGTAAATCTCAACTGTAAATGAATCTGATTTTTTTTAATAAAGAAAACTTAAAAGCATTTAGTTCAGAGAGAGAAAGCTAAAAGGCATATTAGGGGGTTATAAAATTAGGTATGGCATGGAGAATGTGGAGATTCATGTTCTTGGAACATCATTATTCAGTGAAATCTAATGTGACTAAATCTAATGTTCTGCTGTGACTGACTAGAGCATGATCTTTTGTATGTTCTTACAGTGTTTTAGACATTGATTCATTTTCAATATTTTCCTGGGACAGTCTCTGTTTTTAAAAATGTTCCATAAGCATTTTAAAAACAAGCTTTAAAAAATGTTCCATAGCACTGATACAGCCATGGTTAAATTTGTTCGATTAAAAACCCTCACACAATAACACCATGCTTTGTGCTTTATTTTTGTGTTTTGCTCCTGAGCTTAAGCTTTTTATCCTGTTTATATTGATGCAGAAATTAAATGTTGCATGTTCCTTTATCCATTTCTGTATATTCCCACTTAAATTAATTATGCATTATATAAACCATTGCCTTTCCTTTTAAAATATCTTTTAAAGCAGGGGTCCCCAACCACCGGGCCGCGGACCGGTTCCGGTCCGTGGAACATTTCCTACCGGGCCACCGGTTTGCTGGGCGCCACCATCTTGTTTGACGAGAAAGTGCTTCCAGGTGAGCTTTTCCTGTTGGAAAGCGGCGTTTGGGTCCTGAAGGAATCCTCGCGCCTTAGTTTCATCGAAGGGGGGGCAGCTTTGAACGAAACTAAGGCGCAAGGATTCTTTCAGCACCCAAGGCAAGGCGAGCCGAGCGACTGTCTCAAAGCCGTCCCGAAGCGAAGCCCATCGACAAAGGTACAAAGGAGGAGTTGAAGGTGGCAGGGAGAAGCGGGGGACGGCTGGCTGGCCGGTCGCTCGGCTCGCCTTGCCTTGTCATGCGTGCTGATGCCGGTACCAGGCCGCGGATCATTTTGTGATGCCGGTACCGGGCTGTGGCACAAAAAAGGTTGGGGGCCACTGTTTTAAAGGATCTTCATCAGAAACAAACTAAAACTTGTTAAACAAACTTTACAAAAAAAGATTGATATTTTTTTTTAATCTATGCAAATACTGACATCATTCCAGATAATTTTGGTGGTAAAGTACATGATAAACTCATGCCACAATAAATCTGTTTCAAAAAGTGTTATTTTCAGAAAGATAAATTTACCACTGGGAAATACTTTTTGAGCCTTTCCTTTTTTTGGAAGAGATTTTGTGCTTCTATGGTATGTTATAGTCTGAATTGTGGGGTTTCTTTTAGTGTTAGACAGCAAAGCTCAAGTCTTTAAAAAGCCATACACAAGGGTTGGAAATTTTCTCTTCCCTCCCTCTCTGTGTACACACATTAACATGCACACACACACACACACACACGTTTGAACCACAGTAACATTTTTTCTTTGAAATCAGCTTCCTTAATTAGATATGTAAATAGCTGCCAGAAACCCTAACATTTTTGTCTGGATCCATAAATATGTACATCATTTCTGAAGATTGTTACTTAAGTAAATGAAAAAAGTTATGTTAAGAACCTGAGTGAATTAACACTTGTTCACTTCAACATTTTGTTTTCAGCATACTGGTGGAGAAAAAACTTAATTGTTTCTAAAAGAAAAGACATGCCTGATAGGAAAGTGGAGAAAGAAAACAAAGAATCAAAGACCACAGTCAAATGTGACCTGGAAATCTGTGCAATCATTTTACATCTTGGGAAAATCTACTATAGCTTATTCTGATTATTATATAGATATAATACATTAGGTTCTATGGTTTGGGCTAGCAAATAATTCTGCAAGCTTAAACTCCACAAAGTACCAAGAAGAACTATTGGTACTTTGTAGAATGTCTAGAAAGTCTAGAAATATTTCACAGTGACAGTAAAAAATACAATTACGTGACTAAGACTTTTCTTCCCTTTCATTGCATACCAAATCAGTTAGCTGAGGTGGTCAGGTATTAGGTCCTTCCTCACATCAGCATTTTTGCACAATGAGAAATATGAAGTGCTTTGAATTCCACCTTGGAGACTGCAGTAAAACTATCAGGACCAATTAAAAAAATATGACAGGATGTGTGTATTTCCAATGTTCATTTGAATTGAAATGATAAAAGCTTTTGCAATAGATCGATGTGGCCATTATAACTGCAGTGTGTTTAGGTAAATTAGTCAAGAGCTTCATCAACTTAATGAAGATACTTATTTATGAAGCATCTCCAAAGCTAGAAATACTAGAAGTATAAAAGCTATCACCACAATTTATCAATGAAGATAGTAGTATATGTACTATATCTATGTATTTTAAGAAACAACATTTCTATTTTTATCTACCAGCAAAAATCATTGTTCAAAGAGGCTTACAAAAGATGTGGTTTATATAAAAACAATATACATTGATAAACAATAGCAAAAGTTAAAAAAAACCTGAATCAGAAGGGACACTAAAATTAAAGAACTGCCAGATAAGATCTTCATTTGAAATTTGAAAATCACTTCACTTATCTGTAGAACATGAATATAATCTGATTTTGAGATCTCCTATGTGCTTTTAGAGAAATAAAATTTTCTTTCTGTGAAATAACTATCCTAAACAACAAATGTATATTTTGGTGATTCAGACCCTACTGCTTTGTAATTAGGCTCTTGAGCAAGTTATTCCTCTCTTATCATTATCACTTTGTTTTCTGTGAAATATATGTGTGTGTGTGTGTTTGTGTGATTGGCTATGCCATTAAAACACAGCCGTTCTGTGAATTGGCATGTTCTTTGTTGCAGTGGTTTTATGATAACGCTCATAGGTGTTTCTCAAAATGCAGAATGTGTCACTATGTCCAGAATCATTAGGAAATGCTTGGGTCATGTTCTACATATTTTTCAAATAGGAATCTTTATTTTGCCAAAATATTCTCAAGCTTTCTTCATAATCTTAGGAGGCAATGTTGCTTTTCAAAACAAGCAGAGAATAATAATTCGCACTGACAATAAACTTCTTTAATGCTTTAGTGGGGGATCATGATATGGCACAGCAATGACCAATCATAAGCAGGACCCAATACCTTGTATTCTGAAATTCATGTATTGGGCACTTCTGGATGTCTGAATGATGTAAATCTCACATATTGATGTGCAAATGAATCATAAAAATAAAATAACTTGTATATAGCTCTAATTTTCAGAGTTTTGTATAACTGAATTAAAAAACCCTCATAGAATTTCAAAAGTTATATAAACTTAAAGGTAAATTATACAATCATAAGTTTTTCTAAACAAATGTTTATCTTAGGACCTCTTTGTGCTACCGCACTTCCAATGGACCCGAGGTTGTGACCAGTAAAAACAATACTAATCCAATTAAATAAACATGTAATCTAACAACATTTTTATTAAAAAAGCATAGCATCAGCAGTATTCAGCATTCGTCCAAAAGCACAATGAAATAAAGGTGTACTCTGAAAAGCCAGAAGGGTGTGAATTACATTTACTTGTTCTGGAAGGAGATATTTCCATAAAGTAGGGGCTACCTCAGAGAAAGCCTGGACCTTATCCACAGCCGCTGCACCTCAGCAAATGCTTTGTTTATTTGTTAGCTTGATTTTATTAATTACACTGTGCTAAATAGAAGCACATTCTCTAATATGTAAGTGAACTTTGTTGATGCGTGTAAAATATTTTCAGTCAAAATAATGTTAAATAATCTTAACATTACTTAATATAAAGTAGTTTGATTGTTTCTCCAAACATACCTGACCATAGTTCTGTAGAGAAGCTCTAGCTTGACTGCTGCGGGCTGGGAGCTGGGATGCTGTTCCTTCTCCAAGGGCTAGGGTCTGGTTGCTATGATAGCTTGATGGATATTGAAAAGAGCCTTCCGATTTGGAATTGAGCTGAAGGGCACTCTGGGATAGAAGGCTGGGCCCTGTATTGAAAATAATTTCAAGTATCAGTGAAAGGAAAAGCCAAGTATTTTCAAAAAAACAATTGGAATGATCAGTTACCTTTAAAAAAAATTTCCATATCATGTAATGTCAGAAATAACATTATACTACAGCATGTTCAATTTAAAGATTTTCAAGTTATTCTTTTCCAAAAGAAAAAGAGAATACTTGTATACTTAAAAATATTGTTCTACTAAATCTAATTGGCAAAAATAAACAACCAGCAGGGAAATGGAATAGTTGTAGGGCAAAATCAAATTGGAAAATAAATATATTAAAATAGCGTTGAATTACTCCTTCTGCCTCTATTTCCAAGGAAAGTAAGTTTTGGAAGAAATGTTAAACCCTACTTTCTGTTATACTGGAATACCAATCTGATCCCACACAAATACTAATTTTTTATTTTATTTTTTTGATGAAGCTCCATCTGTGGGATACAGGCAGCACAGAAAACCTTTAGTCCAGGGCAAAATCACTCTCCACGAAACTGGTCCCTGGTGCCCAAAAGATTGGGGGCCACTGGCCTAAGCAACTTTTTGATAATAGGCAATTCAGTCTGTAGGCAGAGAAAAAGCTTGCAAAGGGACCCTCCCTACTCTTCCAGAAATTGCAAAAAAAAAAAAAAAAGAGGAGAGGGGAGATACCTTCAGTTTTGCATTCTATTTTAATGCAAACTTATAATAAAAGGCAGCGCTAATATTCCTCGTCGTGTTTCTTATCTAGACTTAACTAGACCATCTAACAAATATGGAGAGGGAAAATACAGAATTTAAAACTTTAGTATCACATTCAGCTTTAGTTTGATTTGGATAACTATCCGCTAAGCTTATAATTTATTGTTTTGTTTACAGAAATGAGTACATGTGAGAAGGGAAATCTGAGAAAAAGCTATAAACAAGTAGAAAAATATATGCAGGTACACGCATGGAGCCATACTGTCATTTTGTTATTGTAATTAATTAAGCCTACTATAGCAAGTGGAAATAGCTTTGTTTAATCTGATAAAAAAAATCTCTGAACATTTGAACTTTATTAACAGTGGAATGGGAGATCCATTCGAAAATCCTATAGCAGTAAAATTTTCTAGATTAGAAAATTAAAACAAACAAAAACCACAGAAGATTCCAATGGCAAACCATCAATATGTCTTTAATCAAGACTTGTAATTACATAGACTTGTAATTTTTATAGTTAGTCAGAGCTATGTTCTACCAGAGATAGTTTTTATTAAATCTGTAGCTGAATAAAAACATTATTGATAAAAACATATTTATTTTATATAACTACAGACACACACACACACACACAGACAAAGACACAGACAGACAGACACACATACATGCTATAATAGCATGCCTTGGGGAGCTCTTTCCTAATAAGAGGACAGATCTCATTCTTTATACTAAAATCAAATATGATTAACATGTTCTGCCCAATTAACTGGGGGCATCTTTTAGCCAATTTAAATGTTTATATATTAATCAAATAGGATAATAGATTAAGAGCAGCATCAGCATTATGCCAGATTGAGGAGGTCCTTCTGGGCCTCTTCCTTTCTCCAAATTACATTTATGGCAATTTCATGTTATTAAATGCACGGCTTTTGCTTTCAATTTTTTTCAAGGATGAATTCAATGTTAAGCCATTGTAGAAATTACCCTGTAAGTGTGATAATGATGGAAATTTTGAAGAGAGTTTTACTGGATGTAATAACCCCAGTAATGACCTAGAACTCTCTGAAGTAGATTTCTGCCCTAAGCATTCAAAATATTTTACCAATGGAATTTTCAAATTATGCATTGAAAAGTAACTATAATATGTATCTGCACAGATTACTATTATGCCCCCCAGTCCCAAAACTTGATAAGCCTCTTTGGAAAGTTTGTTGCCCAGCCAAGGGCCACAGTCCAAAAGATTATCTCTCTAAAAACATCCAACTTGATGGAGAAAGATCTCCATGAATCTCTATAAATGTAGATGGTTACAATGGTTACAAACTAAACCAGCTGGTGGCACTTGAACACACTTGTAAGTGGATCATAAGCTTCCTAACAGACAGGAAGCAACAAGTGAAGCTAGGCAGAATCATGTCTGATACCTGTTCAATTAGCACAGTCCCCCCCCCCCCCAAGGCTGTGTGCTTTCTCCACTTCTCCCTATATACCAATGACTGCATCTCAAATGATCCATCTGTTAAAATACTGAAGTTAGCAGATGATACAATAGTGATTGGTCTTATTCAAGACAACAACAAATCCGCATACAGACGGGAAGTTGTACAACTTGCCTCGTGGTATAACCGGGACAATCTGGAACTGAACACTCAAAACCATAGAAATTGCGGTAGACTTTAGGAGAAACCCTCCCATACTACCACTTCTTATAATACTAGACAACACAGTATCAATAGTAGAGACATTCAAATTTCTAGGTCCTATCATATCACAAGACCTAAAATGGGCACCTAACATCAAAAATGTCATCAAAAAAGCACAACAAACAATGTTCTTTCTGCACCAACTCTGAAAACTCAAACTGCCCAAGGAGCTGCTTGATACAGTTCTACAGAGGAATTATTGAGTCTGTCATCTGCAACTCTATAACTGTCTGGTTTGGTTCTGCAACCCAACAGGACAGACACAGACTTCAGAGGATAATTAGGACTGCAGAAAAAATAATTACCAACCTGCCTTCCATTGAGAACCTGTATACTGCATGAGTCAAAAAAAGGGTTATGAAAATATTTACAGACCCCTCACATCCCGGATATAAACTGTTTCAACTCCTACCCTCAAAACAATGCTACAGAACACCAGAACAACTAGACACAAGAACAGTTTCCCCCGAATGCCATCATTCTGCTAAACAAATAAATCCCTCAACACTTTCCAACTATTTACAACGTCTGCACTACTATTACTATTAATCTTCTCATCACTCCTTATTGCCCATCTCCTCCCACCTGCGACTATATGACTGTGTCACTTGTATCCTTACGATTTATATTGACTGTTTCCTAGTATGATTTGATTGCTTATGGTTCCCTATGACTATTATTAATTGTTGTACCTTATGATTCTTGACTCTTGATGAATGTATCTTTTCTTTTATGTACACTGAGAGCATTTGCACCAAGACAAATTCCTTGTGTGTCCAATCACACTTGGCCAATAAAGAATTCAATTCAATTCAATTCAATTCAATTCAATTCTACTCTATTCCATTTGGAAAGTGCTACTTTGTAAGATAATTTGTTTTGGTTCAGAAGTTTGAAAGACATCAGTCATTTAAATTGGGCCAGAAATAAAGCAGCAGCAACCAGTGTGGTCTAGTGGTTAAAATGTTGGATTATGACTGGGAAAGTCAAGGTTCCAGAACATTTTTAAAGTCACTGGATGAATTTGGGTCTCTTTCCTCCCTCTCCCTCCCTCCCTCCCTCCCTCTCCCTTTCCCTCTCTGTCTCTCCCTACTCTCTCTCTCCCCCTCTTCTTTTCTTTCCCTTCTTCCCTCTTCTCAATCTACTTCATAGAATTGCTGTTATAAGAAGAAAAACGAAGCTGACTTGAGTACCTGAAGGGAAGGTAGGATATACAGTTAGCAATCAATAAATAATAAATCAAAGATATAATGAGTCCAAAACACATTACATGGATTCTGTTAGGTGCAATAATCTTAGGAAAATATACATTATTTTTCTTTATGATATCTTAAGAACTTAAGAGCGTCTTCCATGTTTTATCAGAAGCAGCTATTTTATCTATTATATAGAAATAAAAATACGGTTTACATAAATGCTAACCAATATTGTTATTATTTTATTAACTTTTCATTTTATTTGAAAAATTTATTACAATTATTGATCATATTTTAGGTATAAGATCATGTTTACTACCCAATAATGAATTTATTGAATCAAAGCTTAAATATAATTATTCCTTGAGTGCATTTCTCAATTATATATTTCTCAAAGGTATAGAAATGGTAATGGGAGGAATAGCAGATAAAAAGCAGCGAACAAAATGGTAAGCTATAGAATGATAAACTCTTACATTTTTCACACTCACACACTTCATTCAACTGACATGCACGGGGCCAATGCTTCTCTTCATCTTCTATTTTATAATCCTGAAATGTTGATTCTGACCAGTTGGTTCTCATCAATGTTATCATGTAATATTGTTAACAATTTTAGAAAAAAAATGGAAAGTGGTCAACTGTTCTTGGACAATTTTTGATTACGGAATTTGATGTTCTGAATCTTGATGTTTTTATTCATCTGTAACGTTTTGCTCTTCTTCTGGTCCTTGGCATATCATTGCTTTAATTCTGTAGTATGCTGTATTTCCATGCACCTGTGTGTTCAGATGGACTGTATATACGTCATTAGACTAAGTATTCATCATGTGGTTCATTAAGCTCAGTACCAATCATGATCACTAGAAAAGGTCATTTGATGGGCAAGCTTGTCGAGAAGTTACATTCTGTGTTTCTTTGGTTCAGATTGCCTTTGATTTTTGTACCCTTCCAAAAAGTTGACTGGAAAAATTGTGCTTTGAAGGGAATGCATAGTTTTCAAAGAAATAAATACATATTCTCTTTTCCTTGAGCTAAAATTTTTGTCCTTTTTTCTTCCTTTCTTTTAAGTTAGCTTTTTTCAGATGGTAATTATAATGTAATGTCAGGTTATTTACAAGATACTATATAATTACCAGATAAATACATGATTAATTCAGTTCCCTAAATTGCACTGTCTCTCATGCAGTAATTACTTTTAGATCTAGTAAGCATAATTACACAATACTTTGCTAATGCTTGTATATATCTGAGCTCTCTATATTATTTACTTGGCTGTTACATGATACCGCTTTATAGTTCCTCTTTCTTTATATGTTGCATATGTTTCTCTTTATAGGTTTTTTTTTCTATAGATCCTCATAAATGGTAAAAAATGGCAAAGGCACAGGATGGAACAGGAAAAATGGAAACAGATGAAATAGAGACATAAATAAGCACTATTCATAAATCTGTCTTTGAACACAGTTATTTCTGAGAGTATCCTAAACATTTGGGTGCACTATAGTGCTA